AACAACTAAAAAAATTGCTCTTAGTAGTTATGAAAACAAAAAATATTGGATAGATAGTATAAACTCACTTGCTTATGGCCATTATAAAATAATTTATTTGAAAACGACTTAAATAAATACTTACTTAATATATTAAGAGGAAAAATGACACTGTTTAATTATAGTAAGTGTGAATGTTGTAATAATAAAAATAATGATATTAATTTTACATTGTATAACTTATTACCTGCTAATCTGTGTAGTAAAATAAGTGAGTATAATGTATATTGTGACCAGTGTTGTATAACTGGAGACCTTGAACAGTTTTTTGTTGAAGAACATAAGGATATGGGATATACAACATTTCAGCTACAATTGACATTCTTTATGAGATATCACAAACGATTTCCAGTATATGTTTACCATAAAATTGCTAGAAAGTCATTTGAAAAAGAAATAGATGAGTTTTTTAATAATAAAGATTTGATTAAAAGGTTTGGAGGAGAACTAAGCATTAAACCATATAAAGCATTTGCTAAAAAAAATCGAGACATGTTTGAAGCGATTGATTGGCATTTATTAAGTAAAGATAAAATAAACGAGGTCTTGAATGAATTTGGAATAACTAAATATCATGTATGGTATTACTACAACACTAAATATCAAGTATGGCTACTAGTTAATTTGTTTTTCTGGGAATATATTTATTCAATAATAGGAAAAGACAATATCAAATATATAGACATTGGTGATATTGATAAATATGTAGATTACATATTTGAAGAAATATTTCCTGACTATAAATTTAACCCATAATTATTAATCATACTATAATAATAACATGTAAAATAGTATATGTTATAATTATACTATACTTATGGTTTGTTTCTTAATTTTACTTAATGCCTTAAAAATGACTTAAAGAAATAGTGCCTTAATATAGTAAGAGGAACATGAACGGTGATAAAATCAATAATTATATCAATAAAAAATGCTATGATTGTTGTCACTTCAAAAAAGAAAATATGGAATTGTATAAATTGAATTTACCTAATGAAATAGTGAATAGTATTATTAATTATTCAATGGATGAAGAAGATTTATGTAAATTTTGTAGAAATTGGAGATATTATCAAGAATTAATCAGATGTCTGTTGGGAATAAAAAGAATTCGTAATAGAAATGTAGAAGATGATATTTTAATATGTCTAACTGTAAATAAAATACCACCTTATGATTATGTTAAACAGTTTCTTAAAATTAGTAAGAAAAATATGAAATGATGGATGATATATTATGGTTGTTGTGTTATAGTCAAGAGAAAGGAGAAGATGTTAAAGAAAATATCAAATTATTTATTGAAAGTAAAAAGTTTAATGTTCAGAATACAGTGAGAGATGTTAATATTATTTTTAAAATGATGTATGAAGGAAGAAATATTTGTCAATTAAATTATTATCCTGTACTGAAATTATAATCATAATATAATAATAACATGTAAAATCTTATATGTTATAATTATACTGTACTTATGGTTTGTAAAGATTGAAATATTTTATTTTTTATTGATTTGCTTGTCTCTTTCAAAGTGCGTTGTTTGAACTTGGTATGCTATTTTGACTTTTTCGTTCTTTGGCTTCTTGTTGTTATTTTGTTTGATACTCTTCTGATATTTTTTGTTGGTATGTTGCTTTGTTTTTTGTTGATGTGTGTGTGTTTGAGTTTGGGTTCTTTGATGGTTTTTATTTTTGCTGTTTTGTTGGTATGCTTGTTTGAATTATTTAATGTTGTATGCTGTGATTAAATATTTTTGTTGCTGGTTGTGATTATTTATTTTGTTTGCTTGTTGTTCTGGATTTTGTTTTCTGTTTGTTGTGTTGCTGATGGAGAAAAAATAGTAAACGTAGAATTCCTAGAATTCTCCTTTTACTATTTTTCCCCAACCCCCCCCCCCCCTGTGGGGGTGGGGTGGGTGGGTGGTGGGGTGGTGGTGGGGTGGTGGGGTGGTGGGGTGGTGGTTGGGTGGTTGGGTGGTTGGGCCAACCCCCCCCTTTCTGTGGGGGGTGGGGTGGGTGGTGGGGTGGTGGGGTGGTGGGGTGGTGGGGTGGTGGGGTGGTGGGGTGGTGGGGTGGTTGGGTGGTGGGGTGGTTGGGTGGTTGGGTGGTTGGGTGGTTGGGTGGTTGGGTGGTTGGGTGGTTGGGTGGTTGGGTGGTTGGGGTGTGGTTCGGAGTTGGTTTAGGCTTGGTGGGTTGGTTTAGGGTTGGTTCAGGGTTGGTTCAGGGTTGGTTTGCGGTGGGTTTCGGGTGGGTTTGATTTAGGCTTGGGTTGGGGTCAAGGAGGGGTTGCAGGGTGGTTTGGTTTAGGGTAGGATGTTGCGAGAGGTGCGGGGGTGTTGGTTGACGGGGTGAAAGGGGGTCTGGGACCGAAGCTGCAGGGCTCGCACGGGTACTGGACAGCATCCCCAGCATTGCCAGCATCATCCCCAAGATGCACATGATGCGGGGAGTGCATTGGGGGGGGGGGGTACGTGGCCCAGGGACTGGTACATATATATATATATATTATCATGTGTATTTGACCAGGGCTGATATTTGCTTAACATAATCTAGAAATAGTGCTCCGTGTCTCCGGAGTTGCCTTTGGTCACCAGTATGATGAACGGTGGTACATATATCAAGTAGCTCCTTTCGCCCATCCCGCCTCCTTGCTCTTGATGAGCGATGCCAACAGGTACCCGGGCACTGTGAGCACTGCAAAGGTCATTAGAAGGTAGAGCTCAGGCAAGTCCTGCGCAACACCTTGCCTCAAGCAATCTTTTGTTTTGTTTTGCCTGCGAATGAACAACTGGACTTGCCTCACACGGACATGGACAACCTTCAAGCCGGAGGTAGCTGCACATTGTGTTGGTCATGGTTCAACCTCAAGCTTTTTATTTCTCGATCGTACTTGAAGGCAGTCATGTAAAACATCACCAGTTAACCCAATCCTCATTTATCCTCCTGCCCAAGAGACCCCGAAAGTTGGAAACTGTGCAACAACGTTCGTGGATGTATACCATATGGCCGGTTCGGTCTTCAGTATGTGAGGTCATCAGTGACCCTGTTGAAGAGCGGAAACTGTAATGCAAAGTCACGCGCTTGCGGAACACTCATTAAAAACAATCAATCAAACGAAACAAACAACACATCCCAGCCGTGGTAGGGGTGTGGATGTTTCAAATTTTTGTTCCATTGGTCCAGAAATATGCTGCGCATCATCAACAAAGCATTGCAGAACGCTTGGATAGATGTTGTCTGAAAAGTATATAGGGCTGCTCACTGCGTAAAATAAATAATTTGATACACATATACATATATGTAGTCCATAGCTTACCGCTTTTCGGGCGGTAGCATAAGCATCTTGTCTATTCACATATTAGGGAAAATATTCAGCAATGTGGGTCAAATGACCAGCAAATGTTGCGCAAACAATTTCTTATACCAATGCAATAGCATCCCAAAGTCGGCGGTGCAGCACAGCATTTGCTTGATTTCGGAACCTCAAGCCCCCCCACACACATGTATCATGAACTGTTGCCCCGCACTGGGCAAAACTTTAAGGGCCAACTTGGCTCTAAGGCCTTCTTTCCTTCTCAACAGAACAATAACAACTAGAAAGCACCAATATCTGAGACTTGCAATTTACAGTACATTTCTATTATCATCCTAGTCCGTTAAGAAAGCATACACTCACACACACACACACACACACGCACACACACACACACACCTGTTTCATGTTTGATCATGCTGGAACCCCCGGCTTGCTAAACACGCACCACAAATTGGGATGCATCCGGTGCACCCTTGGCGCATGCTGCGCATAAGAAGCTGAAAGCCCTGTGTCCTGCTTAGCAGCGCCCAGGCCGAACGCCACGGTGGAAGCCAAGGTGCCAAAGACAAAGACGTTGGCGAAGGCCCCGGCGCTGTCCTCAGGGAGACATCTGAAAAGCTTCAGGATTTGGCTGTGGCTCAAAAACATGTACCAAAGTGGCACCTTGGTAAATGGAACCAAAGACTAAAACCGGCGCAACGCTATATAGCTCTTAAACTTGGAGCCACACCCATTTGACTTGGGCTCAATAAAGTGAGTGAACGACCAAACGAATGACGAAAGCAATGGCTTCATGTAAGCAAATTACCCAAGAACAAGCAAGCCGCAGGGAGGAAAATGCAACTACTCAGCTCAAGGAAGAAGATTTCAGCGGCTTGGCCGAAGCACCCCTACTAAAAGGTTGCCCACATGATAAGGAGAGTGCGTAGAACCCCCAGAAACCAAGACTTCCACATCTGGAGCTCATACAGGGACCCAGAATGTTCTGCCTATATCACACCGGTGCCCAAATCAACACGGACGTGCTTCAGAAAAGTCATGCCCAGGTTACGCAGTCGCCAAAGATCAGCAGGAACATGAGAAACGAGAGTTGCTCAAGTTGCCCCTTTTGCTGTCTCAACTATAAAAATGTGCAAGGGCATGCTGGAAAACACTCAGCCGGAAAGCAAACCTTCTTTTGCTGAGGCTTGTTTCGGCACCCTGATCACCTTGGCGAGAGAGAAGAGAGAAAGAAAGAAAACAGAGAGACAAAGCGAAGAGAGCGAGAGAGACAGAGAGAGAGAGAGAGAGAGAGAAGACTCTCTCTTTCTCTCTCTGTCTCTCTCTCTCTCTCATTGTTTTTCCTCTTTCTCTCTCCCTCTCTCTTTGGTCGACAAAGGAAGTCATCTATAAAAATCCTATACTATCTGCCGCACTATAATGAACACCACCCAAGAAAACAGAAATCCCGTCCCACTATCCCTGAATTCATGGGGACGTCTCCATCCCAACAGGATTTTCACCATCCACCGTATCATGTATCATGTACCAAACGGTGAACAGGGAAGAACATTGTTTTCCAAGTTTCATGAGGGCAATTGAATCAGGTGGCAATGCAACGCAAAGGACCAACAAGCATGATTGCGGGCAACAAACATCTCAAAGTCGCATCATCTGTGGGAAAAGCACTTAGCTGGATAGCTCAAACAACAACCTAGGCTTGTCTCCAAGGTGTCATGCTTTGGGCACTTTGACTTGACTTGAGGCTCCTCACCGTGGAAGAAGTCGGCGAAAATGGCCTTGTTGGTGCTCTCATACACCGCTCGGCCAATGCCCATCAGCCCGTAGAATACCTCATGCAACAGGGATGGCATGAACCAGCTAGGACCAAGCGCTTAGATGGCATCGGCTCATGGCTTAAGTTTCGTGTCACAGGGGCTGCAATCCGGGGGAAGCCTGGCAAAGGGCTGTTTGTTCAAGTGAATCTTTCACATCGCCCGAGCTCTATTTTCAGCTGCGCTACATAGAAGCGCCACCACACTCCGGCTTGAACAACAAGCTGTATTCATCAGCAAGTCACCAATCAATGCGGTTTGCACAATTGTGTACTGCATGCCTTTTTTCACAGCTATGTAGATACACTACAAGCAATTCGGAGCTGCCAAACGAGCTTTACCATACCGAATGAATCGTGCACCACAACATCCTAGCAATCCACAAACATCCAAGAGACATCATTCAGCCGCACCTTCCTTGCTGGTCTTTGCACAAGAGTACCAGCGCTGAATGATGGGTACATGACGCAAACTTGGAGTCTTTCATTAACTGCAACGGGAGACCTCGCATGATGAATCCAAACTTCATGCAGGAGGCATTCAAGAAGTGGCACGGGTCCAACCACTTGTGGCACGTGAACAGCACAGATTCTCCAGAAGTAGCCTCCCATAAACTCGACGACGATGATTGTTTTGCAGAGATACTCCGTCACGTTCTATGTGAGTAAGAGGGACGGTAGTAAAGTGTGTCCGGTTGTGCGCTGCTAAGAGGACATGCTTGTGTATGTTCTATATGCTCGACTGCGCAACACGCCTTACAACCACACTCCAAACAAGTTGTTTGGCACGCAGTAATTGTAACTCAACGAACGGTAATTGAAGCACATACGGCTCTATGAGGAAAGTTGGGTGACCTTATAAAACAAAAAAAATAACCTGCACCATACTGATCTTGCCAACCGCCATCCGTGCCTTGAGCCCTGCAGGCAATAGGGTTCCCAGATTGTGCCAAGCCGAGTCTAACCTTCTCCAGCTGCACAAAATCATAGGGCAAGTTGACGCATCGAACCATGGTCCATCAGCCTTCCAACTGTGGTCTTCCAGCCAAGTGGCAAGAGCACCCCATCCCCACGTGGCAGGCTGACCAACATACCTCGGCAAGTGGCTGGTGAACCTTGGACCACGATTGATAAACCAATTGATATCGATGGAAGGACAAATGGACATTATAATACTGAAACGAAAGGAGGACAAACAACACCGGGCGATCAAAATACAAATTTACGGCATAGTGAAGCTATTGGATGCCCCAAGTCTGAGTGGCAGCGTGTGGACTCACGCCTTGAGCTCCTGTGAGCAAACAATCCGGTGGCATCGAGCGACCAAATTAGAACCATTCATCTAAGCTAACAACAATACTACGAAAAGAATACCAAACAATCAAACGGGTTCAACATTCAATGCTCGTGGCAGAGCGACCCCGCTTGTCAAGGCAGCCGGCGTTGGATTCGTGGTGCTCAGAACGTAGTCACTTCCTCTCCATACTGCTTTGTTCACAAGCAGCCTGCCTAAGTGTTCTACACGAAAATGACGCACCACACATGTACTGACTTCAAGGTCATCAGTATCCACAAAGGTTTGCCAGGGATCTCACAACTGTGCAAGCAGGCTGACCAGGCTAACTCCGCTTTCTGCATTCGCAGGAGGAAAATCAGACGAAAAAGCAAAAAACTAATCTAGGGTAAAAATTGTTGGACCCTGTGGTTATTAGTGAGGTCGCTATCATTTGACCATACCATGTGACTTTATAAACTGTGCGCCTGACAAAAGGAACTCAAAAATGCACTACATAGCGCTTGATTCCACTGTTTTGGCCTGCGAGCGAAAACTGGCTGCGCCTGAAGGCTTCTCTTTATGGGACAGAGGTAGGGAACGCCAGCGACCGCGGATCGCCAAAAAGAATGATAAGCCACATGAAGCAGAGCCTATGCGCAGCATACATGTGGCGATATGTGGAGCCTACGTAGCCTGTACCAGATGTTGACATTGAAGAAAATCGGTCCAAGCGCTCATGTACAGCTCGTATACCAATCCATGCTATTTCTGAATGGGAACGCCAGCCAAACCGACCGCCTATACCCTGTGTATATATATAGATATATATATATATATATATATTTGTACCCCTTTGGGAAAAATCACAGCAGTCAGCCAGACAAGTTTCCAGCCCTTGTTGAAAGCAACTGCTCACCAAAACCGGCTCTATCCGGCGCACGAAGGCTCATGCCGTGAACCAAACAGCTGTCTAAATACCTCCTTTGCCATCTCCAAACCAGAGTCAATGTGGGTGTGTCTTTGTGTCTTTCTTTGAGTGCAGCCTTTTTGGGGTGGGTTTAAAGGGAAACCAAAAGGCAAGCCACCATATTGGCGGTGTTCCCCAAAACAAGACACCCCAATTTGGCATCAGCCATGTAACCATAGCATCCCGGACATTTCATGACATCATGTCCTACAAGGCTCAAACGCTGCGTCCCAACCAGAATTGTCCCTATGGACGCCCGCCAAAGTCGTTGTAAGCTCCACCATTGTAAACCAGGGGAAGCCCAAGGTAGTTTTTGACCAATGTCCTGATTGGAGAACTCAACCAGGAGTTTGGATCTACCTCGAGGTCTACAAGTGGAACCCGCGTTCTGAAACAGGCGCTTTCCTTTTCAAACGGAACGCTCTGTTGGATTGGTGGGCTACGCTTCGGCAGCGGCAAAGGTCTTTCACCATCTGTGTAGCTATCAACTCTCCTGAACCCCCTCCCCCCCCCCCCGGTTGCTTTTCAGCCAACCTATGTCGCAGGCACAATCACATTCCCCGGTGACGAATGCTATCGCGACAGCCAGGCGCAGAAGTTACAGCAAATCCGAAAAGAAAACCACCAACAAAATCAGCAAATAGTTGCGGCAAATAACATCAGCTATCCGAATCCTAGTCATCAATCCATCAAACAAATCAACCATTCCGCAAACCAGCAACCAATTTGATCTTCGTTCTACAAGGCCCTGCGTCAGAATCAACAAAACCTGATCGATCATTTTCGCCACGGTACCGGCTCAGCAAGCCGAGCATCAGGAAGGCTAGCGCTCCCAAAGATACGACTGGGCCCTTGCCCACTTTCCTGAGGGATGCAAACCGTCGCTTCTCATGTGAAGTGAAGGAATTGACATAGGATCTTGCTGAACTCGAACAGGCATCTGGGGGCTGAACTCATAGAAAGTCTGAATGTCCCAAACCATAAACACAAACAGGACAAGTAACTGTCCAGCAGGTAGAATGAGATGCCGCGGTGCTTCATGACACTATTCGCGTTTGCTCAATCTCAAGCGCGACACAGTCATGAAGCTTGAGAGAGGCTTGTAAACGGGGCCGCCAATTCAATGAAACCAATGAACTTGCATAAAGATCAAGACGCACAAACACAGACACGCATCCTAAGGAGACAGGGACTGCGATACAACTAATGACATCCAAAGACACTGAAATTGACAGTCTCTGATGTGGCTGTCCAGCGTCGCATGATCCAACGACAGTCCTCCAATTTATTGATCAAAGCAGGCACTGCTGCTTCAAGATGAGTGCATGGATGCCGGCTTTGAGAGAAGTGACTTGGTGGCCATGGACTCTGGCAATGTGGTTTCTGAGGAGAGTTAGGTCCAAATAAGGATGCAGGGCTCCTAATTCCGCTTTGAGGTTTAGACACCTGTACAAGGGTCTAAGCTCAAAACATCTTAATTCCCATCAGGACATCTGTATGTGACGCATGCGGCAACGGCCCCTTGTGAAAAGACCGTCCACTGGGACCGTCAGCATTGCCAGGCAGAGGGCCAAATAACCCATGAGACGATACTTAGACTCTTCAGACCTGGTGTTGACTGACTGAATCACAGCGTTATAAGATAGAGATACATAATATGTGTACAAAGAGGTACAGTACCTGCTTCATAATGACTGACACAGCCCTTCCTGTGTTTATGCGTATCGATGTAGCCTAAGTATTGCATAGTTCAAGTACTGTATATGGTATGAAACTGGCATGCTGCTCCTGGCCCCTCGATAAAGCCCCTACAACAGCCGTACCACGCCGCAATCACCAACATCAATTGGGTATGGGTCAGAATTAAACCACCGCACGTTATAGTGCTTGTTTCCATTTACCAGGGCAAGCCATTCTGGGTACGTATTTTTGACCCACAACCAATTCTTGCACCATGACCAATTGAAGGCATGGGTGACAGCGAACCACGTCCCTTGCGACCGTCCCTGGCAACACGAAGACCGGTCCGAGGCGCGCGGCGACGCCGCCAAGCACCTTTGAGAGGCCGCTGGCCAAGGCTGAGAGCATGGCACCTCGACTGACGGAATAAATATGCCGACTGATGGATGGGAGGAATGCGTTGACTCAGGCACCTTCGCAAGAGCACTTGTTGAAAATGTTTTTTTCCCTTTTTTTCTGACACTAGATGGTTAGTGACCCCTATGCCCAGCAAATGTCGGTAGTTTGTGCCTGGATCTCATGTTCATGTGAGCTAACAGCACTTCAAGTCGTGGGGTGGCGACGGGACCTGGGCGCTGATTGAAGAAACCCTGGCAGTAGCCCCGACCAAAATGAGCAGATCTGAACTCGCTGGTTGCCTGGCAGGGCTTCCAACGCTGGTGGAAGCTACATCTAAAATATTTACCCTGCTGTTGGCAGCGATGGTCGAGCCTCCCCAAATCGGAGGATGTCATGTCTCTCAAATTGAAGCAGCTTTTACTTGAGTCCACACATCTTCTAAGGTTCACTAAGCCATACTACGGACATGACGAATTCACCTGCATGGTCTGCCCACTCTGTGCCCCAACCCCTGCGTCGCATCGCCTGCGAAGCCAATGAACTCACTGCCTCCCAGAGCAGGAGATAGGATTTGCCTGGGAAACGCAGCTGGATCTGGAATTTGGCGCTGCCCTTGTAGCCGTAGCTTTGATGTGGGCGAACTGGAGTTCCAAAGGAAGTAAGGGACCCCGGACCCCTTAAATTGACCTTCACGAGGGAACTCCTTTGTCCGGCGATCCATAATTTGCCCCATTTCGATTGATGCGCCGATCAACGAAACCATGGGCGAAACTTGTTTGATCTCGTTTGCGAATCTTCTCTGGCATTGGGTTCTGCGCATCCCCTTCACGGTGTGAGAGGCGTTGGTCTCCATGTCAATCTATCCCAAAGTCCGGGACCTGACAAACAAACAAAACCATCAAGCAAACAAGCAAACACAAACACAAACATAAAATAAAAACAAACACAAACACAGGCCTTGGGGGGGGTTAGGGTTTTGAGGTCACTCATGATGATATCTTAAGTTTCTATGCCGCTGATTAAAAGAACGGCCCCTCTCTGAATCCAATTCCAGCGGCAGGGAAAGCATCGTTACAGCCAGAAGCACATCCCGCCCGTTCCCTTCTCCAATCGACACTTCGAATCCTTGGGCTCCCAAAGTTGAGGCTAGCGACTGGACTTTCGCGATTCCGCAAATGAGAAGAACTCCCCATGGGTCCTCTAGAGAAATAACCCTGCTGGGGGACAGTTCAAAGATAAGTGAGGTTGGCGCTATTCGCGCAGAATATTGTTATCTTTGTTGAATTGTTTATTCAGATCAACATCCTCTTGTTGTGTGGGCTCCGGCCTTGTGTTGTTGTGCACAAAGGCACAAATTGTTCTGTTTGCGGCGATGTGAGTTTGTTGTTTGACACTCACATGGCAACTCTGTCCGGCCCGTGTTCATCGTGCCCGCAGCAAGCGCATGCTATTCAGCAACATGTTCGTTGCGCAAGCACAATCACTTGGCACACATCTAGCCACTCTAATCTCGATTTTCTCTGATTTGGTGTAAACACACGGCCTGCCTTGCGAAGATGTGCAGAAACACACATCAACGACTCATGAGGCGAACAGGCTCTCGTGAGGCGACGACCAATCAATCCCGCCTGCCAACGTAGCCCCCCAACCACGCGGCCGCAAAGCCGAAGGTCAGGTTCGTGCACTGAAGAACCTGAGGCAATGCTGCAAACGAAGCCTGCAAGACACCTTTCTGGGTTCACTTTGAACACGCGGTGCTTGTTTGTGTGTTGGTTTGCTTAGTTGGTTGATTGTTCTCTTGGTACGTAGTCCTGTTACTTTTGTGCTTGTTTGATTGCCAGCCTGCTCGCTCTTTTGTTTGGTTGCTTGTGTGCTTCTATGGATATGGTTGATTGGATTATATATATATATATCGCTTGCTTGGCTACGTGCTTGTTTGCTTGGTTGCTTGCTTGCTTCCTTCCTTCCTTCCTTGCTTCCTTGCTTCCTTGCTTCCTTGCTTCCTTGCTTCCTTGCTTCCTTCCTCCTTCCTTCCTTCCTTCCTTCCTTCCTTCCCTCCTTGCTCGCATGCTCGCTTGCTCGCTCGCTTACTTGCTTGATTGCTTGCCTGCTTGCTTGACTTGCCTGTGATTGATGTCTTCAGATCCCACATGAGACCTGAGTCTACATAATCCAAGTGGCCCAGATCTTTGGATCCTTCCACAGGCGCACCGCCGCCAACGCCTGGCAAACCGATGTCGCAGTTGTCTTGTCATCAACTTTTAATCGCTGACACGCCCTGCAAGCTGCTCGCAAACATGCACTTGATAGTACCCGCAACTCTTGCTAGAATCGAGTCATCGGCTAAACCAGCTACGTCATCTTATGATCCTATGTTCTTCTTGTGGAGTGTGTGAGGCCTAGCTTGCGCAGACCAAACTATGAGGCCCCCCAAGCCTAGCGGTTCAGTCAACCAGTCATCCTGCCAGCATGGAACGATAAAAGGTGCAACGTTTTGAATAAAATGAACATGTTCTCGCGTTTTCAATGCCCAAGTTTTGGCCGTCCTTGTTGGCCCCCCCTATCCATTCACCCCCTTCACCCGGCCTTGGCACACATGGAGCCCCGCGGTCCGCCACCATTCACCTCCGTGGCAAAGGCCTGAGATGGTGAGGCCCCCAGGGGTTGCTCCCAGATTGGCCATAGATGCGATATCCGCTCGTGAGGTAGGTTTGGTTGGCAAGTGGCATAAAATAATCACATCAACTTAAAATGACGCGACCAACTTCACTTGGGGCAACTCAATGGTATACCAAACCCCAACGCCAAGCTATTAGCCTCAAGCCTTCTTGAGAATCCTCGGTGCTCTTTGAGTTGACATCCCCAGCCGCAATGGCAATGTGCTCCGCATGGCTGATTGAGTCTCGGAACAAGGCCTGATCATGCTTCCCAATGTGCCGTTGTTGACCCGAACAGCGCAGTAGACATAGCATGACATAGCCTGGAATCGCGAACAAGTTATCTCGAGGACCTCAGCATGCCGTTGAATGCCCATGTGCACGTTTCGCGTGCTCCCGGTGCCAACCACACAGCAAGTCGCGATGCCAATCCTGAAGAGGTGACAATGATCTAAGATGGTTCTCACCACTCCCAAACAACTGCACTGAGGGTATGGGATGCGCAAACCCTATAATCTGGCCACTATGTGAAGGGTATATACTGAATGCTTTTTCAATTTCCCTGGGTCAAGTGGTTCGGGGGTAGTCGAAACCATCATAGAAATGACAAACGTGTTGATGAACTTAGCCATTGAGCTGTCAAGCTTTAGATTATAGATTGACAACCACGTGTACCTATGCGCAAGTGCCAGCACAACTTCGGTGCCTTCATGTGGGTCGCCTCTTGCGTTTTCCCCAACTTCGGCTACCGTTCCGGTGGGCCATACCGCAGTGGCTGTGAGCTTTTTGAGGCTACCCGTCTTTTGCGTTGGTCTAACTAAAAGGCAGCAAAAAGGAAGCCGCCAGTTTTCAGATCCCCCTGTGTTGACACGCATATGTGCTGACGCCTGCGAGCTATTTGCTGCTGTTTCCGCGAAGCTGAGTGTGGACTCTCAACAGAACCACTAGACCCACACCCTGCGACTTGGCCTTCCCAGCCAAACTGCCACGAATTGTCGGACTCACACGCCCCCTGAATCCATGGCTGAACCATAACGCTTGGTGGTATTTACAGGGGAATCGAATCATTCCAGGGCTTCTCAGGTGGTGCGAAATGGATTTCGTCCATCCGCAGTCGGCGAAGCCCTTTGCTTTTGTTTCCCCAAACACCGCGCAGCTCGCTGCACGTCTCGGAGTGAGGATCTCTTCCGAGCTGCCTAGTGTAAAGCGTATTGCTCAAGCACTTCCCGAAAGCAGCTGCAACATCACAAGTTGAACCTCGCGTATAGGCCGCTTTGACAAAAACGGCACCCCAAGATCGAGGATTTCAATTCAACGGCTACCGAGTTGTTCATCTTCCATTTGCCCCCGGCACCCAGCGTGCAGCCACCACATTCTACAGGGACCGCTTGAGAGTTCCTTGCAACAGGCCCTGACAACTTGCTGAGCCAACACGATCAACGCAGAAACCCGAAGTCTGACTGATGAATCATGCAAAGCCACCTTGAACCATGTCCCACACTTGGATGATTCATATCAGGCGAACAGGTCACTAGCAGCACAGGTCCACATTCGCCCAACCTGGAAAGCCGGAAAACTGCTCTCTCACCAGGGCGACGAAGGTCACCCAAGAGCTCCCTCTCAAGAACGAGGCGCCATAAATGCCAGGGTTGATACAACTGCAAGGCCGGAGAAGATGCAGAACACGACCTGAGCCACCAAGCCAAGCCCAGCTTCTCATGTGCAGGTTAAGCTTAAGTTGCATGGCGTCTTGATCAGTGTCCTTTCTAATACTCGCATGGCCGGAGCATCTTGAAGACATGAGCGGCAAAGGGTGGACCCACTTTGTGTCGTCAAAACTTGACTTGTTGAGCACCGAAATCAATGTATTCGCTGTTGGACTATGTTTGCAGGCATCTGAAGGTATGTTCCGGTATCCTCGAGAACTTCCGCGGCGACGGAATAGCAGCACTCTACAATATGTATACCCTCTCTGCCCCAGCCACGTACACCTGTGGCAAGGACATCCGAGAATCCAATCATGGGACACTCTTAGTTCTTGAAAGGACACCAAAGGAAATCCCCGCAATTTCGCGGCGCTTGGGAACTCTCATCTCGCGCTTTCAGCTGTGTTCTCTCGGGGTGCTCAGGCCGGTGCGGGGTAATCCAAGTGCGCGTACTTGGTGAAGAGCGTGGCAGATGCGCGCACCACGGCCCTCGGACGCTGGAGCGGAAGGGGCCACAGGCCCTGAACAGCTGCGTAGCAGTCGGGCTTGTTTCTATGGAGAAGGCCACAATGTGTGGTTTTTGGCTAGGGCTTCCCTTTGCACTCTCAAAAAGGCACCTTCAAAAGACGGCACACTCAGTTGTAAGGTGATTTGGCCACGAATCAATTTGACATTCGCAAAGCCACGGAATGATTGTTGCTCCCTGCTTTCCCTTGTTCGGAAATGGCCGGTTTGGGCCATATTCGGGCCCGAGGGGAGGCAAGAACTGAAGCGAACCGACCACTACTGGGGCAAGCTGGATTCTGAAGTCCTATGCTTAGGTGTCCGTCAATTGACCCCCAATTGTTTGGCCTCCTTTGTTGCTCACTCCTTCTGCCTTTTTTTTTTTTTTTTTTTTTTTTTTAACTGCTAAAAAATCCTGCAAAGTTGACCAAGCTTGAAAAGAAGCCTGTCCGTCTAAGCTAGTAATTATAAATTAATAAGCACGTGTAGTGGGCGGGGCAGTTCTGCTACTCACAATATACTTGCACGAGGAAGCAACAGTAACAAGTTGTCCAAATGACTGTGCCAAGAAGACTGTGCGAGAACCGCACAACATGTTCTTTTGTCCTCAAAACGGCTAGCGACCCCTTTGAAAGCAAATTTGTCTGAAGCCTACAAAGAGGGCAAGAAGAGTTGTCCTGGGTTTATGCGTCCCCTAAAAAATGGCTGATGATTTTTTTTGCTACCAACCTCTTGACTAACCTCCAAGGAGCATCGTCTTTAATTACAGCCGTCTTCTCATGAACGGGGTTCATCTGCAAGCAAACATACACAGAACAAGCAAGCAAGCAAGCGAGCGAGCAAGCAAGCAAGCAAGCAAGCAAGCAAGCAAGCAAGCAAGCAAGCAAGCAAGCAAGCGAGCAAACGAGCAAGCAAGCCAGCAAACAAGCCAGCAAGCAAGCAAGCAAGCAAACAAACAACAACTCAATCAAAACCCACTCATGCAAACGGAAACGAGCGCGCACACACACACATACGCTGCACTACAATCGCATACACTACACTACACTACCCTACACTACCCTACACTACACTACCCTACACTACACTGCACTGCACTACACCATACTACACCACACTACACTACACCATACTACACCACACCACTCCACACTACACTACACTACACTACACTACACTGCACTGCACTGCACTGCACTGCACTGCACTGCACTGCACTGCACTCCACTACACTACACACACATACACTGCACTACGCACACAGAACCACACACACAAGAACAAATGCATCCTCGATTTGAGGTTCCTGGTGTTCGGAAAACCCCAAGACACATTTTGCAAACAAACCGCCCAGACGTTGGATCCCGCTCCGAACGAGTTGCTCCATGGCGAGGAAGACCAATGCGAAGGAGCCCGCCAACTCGGCTGTCACGCTCTGTGCCTCTGGGATCCGGTCCGAGAAAGGATCCATCGATCGGCGCCCTTTAAAACATACGGGAAGCAAAAGGGTTGCCATTTGAGCGTAGCTGTGGGCTTTGACAGAATAGATGTCTGCTTCGGAATGGGAGATTGACAAAGATATGGTTGCCCTTTGGGTCATAACATTTCACCGCGCTGGCCCAACATGGGGGTCATTCGTTTAACCGCCGAAGGCTAGATGCCCCCAGGCGCTTGGCTAACCCCGAAGGCTTTGCGCGCATGCGAAACACATCCTAGTAACACCTTCAGGCAGCTTGGCTCAGATGATGCTGGCTGCTGGCTTCTTTGGTCAAGGGAATGCTGGGTTCCCAGGTCTGGCCAAACAGAAGCACCTTGAAAACACGTTGGGTATTGTTTCGGAAAACCAACCCAACTTGTTTTAATGCGCTGGATGGGGTATCTCAATAATCTAGGTCCTCCAGTAGAGAGGTTATATAGAATAAGGGTACCCTTTTTTCTGTAGTCTATTTTAGTAGGGGAACCCTCACCCCAAAAAAGAAACGGTGAAAGGGCACAAGTAATCCACTCCTTCTTGCAACTCACTTCCCCCCTTGGCAACCGCGGCATCCTGCCACTCCAACTCTTGGGGTGCGTATAAATATGCAAACCTGTCCAAAATGGATCAACCCCGGAACAAAACATGCATTCATCCGTACAACTCCAAAATACCGGTTCGTCCGAAGGAACAACAAAGTTGGATACGACCTCTAGTTTGCACTCAGAAACCGTCCAACCACTGCTTCATACGAGTCGCGAAAGCAATCAGTCGCTCCTCCTGCTAATTGGCCCCTAATACATGCGTGCCCTGGAGGTAATTGTGGCTTTAGAAACCGGTGAATTCTCAAGCATGGCCAGATTTGGGCCAAATGGGTTTTCCAGATTCATGCCACATGGAGCCACGCCAAATCGGCCAACTGGGTTTTCAAGATTCACGTGCATGCAGCCACCCAAGCCATCGGAGCCTCTCGGTCCTCTGCGGCCGCCACTCGGTCCTCGACCAGGGTACAAACTCCCTCGTTGTCTAGATGAACCATATGAAACGCACAGCTGCTGAAGAAATCGATCGCATTTTCCGCAACGCGGAACCGACAACAAACACGAAGCCGGAACTGGCAAAGTCATCAGGCTGACTGCTGTCTGATCCGTTTTGGTTCACAAAAGCTACACCTTCTGCAACGGATCCCACCAGAGGCAAGATTCCTGTTCGGGAAGCCAAAGTGAATGAGTCCGTGCCCTTGTTCGGACCATGCCGGCGATTGTTGGACGGCTCCAAGTTGATGTCTTCACCATTGATTGGTTGCCGGCCCGAAGTTGAGGCGTCTATCTGGCAGATGCGTCCAAGCTTCGCAAATGGAGGAGAAGAATGCACCCTGGCAGGTCCATAAGATTCCAGCACCAATGCCACCTGCGAGCAGAACCCGACACCTTCCTTGCACTTGCCGCATGCACCTATCTGAACAGGGTAGTTGCTGACTCGCTGGCAAACACCTAGTCCAACCCATTCCGACCTTGATTGTCGACTAGGAAGTCTGAAGCGTGGATTACTCAGCAGCTATTCTCCAGTAGATCAAAGCGGCACAACACCTTTCCAAATCAGTCTCTGTGGATGTGTTACACCAAACCAAGTACTGCAACTGATCCCTCTATTTTCACATGATACCATATCGTCGGAATCCCAATAGAAGGCCTTACTACCGAAGGCAAATTCACCAACAGGGGAACACTTGCTGTTATGTCGATGTTCAAACTTGTGTAAAAACTGCACGGGCAATGTTAGTGAACTTTCATATGTGCCTTCACGCGCACACACACACACAGACACACATATGGATGCACATTCATTACATATATGTGCTTGTCATACACATATCGTACATAATATATATATATATATATTATATATATATATACACCTAATGTATTTGCAAGCGTTATGCAGACGACCAGGCGAGGTCTGCGGAGTGCGGTCAAATCAAAGGCTGCTCAAGTGACAATACGCAGCACTGCCTCTGACCTGTCCGGGTTGAACGTCATGGTCATGGTTTCCGCCGTCGGTGCTTCATGGCAGTTTTATGATATTTGCAAAGGGCAATAAACGTTTCCCATTCAGAACTGACTTCTTTCCTTAGTCGGGGAATGCTGTTTTGAAGGCCGTCTAAACCCGTGGATGGGATCATTCGGCAGCTGAGGAAACAATGCAGCAGTTTTCTTTGTCTGCAATATGGGTGTTTCCTAGAATAGATACCTCCTTTTCGGTGAAGCCAGAAACCAAAGCAGACCCACCGGTTTGTATGAACTGCATATCAAAAAACTTCTTGCCATCATTCCCTGCCCTCCCTACGCTCCGTCGCCTATGAAGGCACCCAGCAAGTTGGTGGGCAGCTGGTGAGGCATCCCCACCAGGCAACTGCCATTCTTGGGGTCCAGCTCTTCCTCAGAGCGTCCAATAGGTCGCGACCGACATCTGGGTCGTTCCGCCCACCGAAAGGGTGGCGGCGTTGCGCCAAGGACTCGAAGAACGATTGATTTCAGAAGTACAGGTCGTACCTGGAGCCTCCATGACCCTTACAAAAAGGGGGGCATTACCCAAAATACAGGGGTCATGAACCCATTTTGAAAGGTTCATGGAGACTCCAGGTAAGCTGAAACCACAGAAACCGATGGTCGACTGGAGGGCCTTCCGGGGCCTTCCGTCCCGAACCTGCCATCTGTTGGGCATCAATCTTGTGCTGATCCAAAGACAACTCCAAGATGCTGCGAACCTTCTTGGCATTTCTTGTTTCACACCCGCTACCTTTGATGGTCGATGGATAAATGCACTCCATCTGTGTGTGTGTGTGTTGGTCTCTTGTTTGTTGAATCCTGCTAGTCTGGACCCCTTGCACTCACGGCTTCAATCGACCTGTTGCAAGCCTTCCCGCCCTTACCTGGCAGATATGCATCATTAGAACCATTGCTACGTAGCACGACTGAACGACTGAGAGCCTCGCGCACATCGACGCTGCAGCCGCAAAGAGGGCAACGTAAACGGCGTACCTGGGCAATCACTCCATTGGCTGAGAGTGCTTCGAGAGTGCTGGAGGCAGTGGCTTTGCAGAACGCACGAAAACAGACAAACCTGCTCAACGAAGCATGTTTAAGCCAAAAAGGAACTCTGCTGGCTTGATCTTGGCCCACCCTTTGTCTTTTCGGGGGGGAAAAGCTTTTCCAGGTTGGTTTCAAGGGCAAACAAAAAAAATGGCCGCCCATTTTTGACTGCCTCCAACTCCCACTATTTAGACGGATCCCCCCTTTTTTTCTGCGCTTTTCGCCCGAGCGGCAGGCCCATGGCCAGAGACAGGCCCTTCTTGGCCCCCAAAATCCCGAAGACCGCCGTGGAGAAGAAAAGGCTGCACACCAACGTGGCGCCATAGAGCCTCGGCGCTGCATCCTTCAAATGGATCCAGCTCCGTCCAAAGGCCGGATCTAAATTCACTTACCCTCCCACCAATGAGCAAAAAAAAACAGCCAAAAGGATGTACCCTCTCACCAATTCACATAGAACCAGCCAAAAACCCTCCCACCAATTCACATAGAACCAGCCAAAAACCCTTCCACGAATTCACATAGAACCAGCAAAAAACCCTCCCACAAATTCACATAGAACCAGCCAAACATCCTCCCACCAATTCACATAGAACCAACTACAAACCCTCCCACCATTTCACATAGAACCAGCCGAAACCCTCCCACCAATTCACATAGAACCAGCCAAACACCCTCCCACCAATTCACATAGAACAACACCCTCCCACCAATTCACATAGAACACAGCCAGAAACCCTCCCACCAATTCACATAGAACCAGCCAACAACCCTCCCACCAATTCACATAGAACCACCCAGCCAAACGCCCTCCCACCAATTCACATAGAACCAGCCCAAAACCCTCCCACAAATTCACATAGAACCAGCCCAAAACCCTTCCACCAGTTCACATAGAACCAGCCAAAAACCCTCTCACCATTTCACATAGAACCAGCCGAAAACCCTTCCACCAGTTAACACAGAACCAGCGAAAAAGCCCTCCCACCAATTGAAAAGGAGCCGTTCGAGGGGTCCTGGAATTTGAACCATTTTCCGAATAGAAAGGGACCGAACGTCGCTTTCCTTTTAAAGGGACCCCCGAACGTCAGGTTTTACGTGAATTGGTGGGAAGGTAGCTTGATTTGTGAATGCCAAAGAGTGACATGAGGATATCCCCAAAGGACCCACGTGAGCTCGTTTTACCACCGAATCGGGCTCATGAAATGATAAATGGATTCAGTCCGGTTCCCTTGCCGATCCATTTTCCAAAAAATAGATCTTCGGACAGCCAAAGGATGCGTATCTCAAGCTGGGCCAATTACAACGAATTGTCCCCAACTGACATGGGATTCCAGTGAAAACCTCATGTTGTTGTCTGTGTGGATTGCATACATTTGCCGACTGGAATTGCGGAATCCTCAAGTCACGGACCTTCAGCATGGGTAAGCTCGCCATGACCCTTCATCATGGGTAAGCTCGCAATGACTGCCTTGAGTGGTGCGCTGCAGTCACTGCAAAATATACATATCCATTGAGTGGCCGCAATGAGCTTTGCATCTAAGCTGTCCTGAGCCCGTCAACACCTGAGATTCCAGTAGGAACCAAAGGACATGGTGAATCCCGGCTTCCCAAGTAAGGGCCCAAGTGAGGCAAGATTAGACTCACGCAAGAACATCCGAACAATTCTCATGCGAACGATCTCAAGTCCATATCCCTCAGACTGAGTGGGGAACTCTTCATGATTAGCACGGTTGTCCATTTTTATTTTTGTTTTAAGCAAAAAACACGAGCATCTCCCCCTGTCTGGGCAGATCGGATGTGGTGTTCCCGTGTTTTTGTTCCCCGGGAGATGAGAACTCTGGCCCAACCCCTAGGTGCACAGCTCACACTCAGTTGGGGCCTTGGACAGCATGTAGGTAGAGATTTACGTCCAAAGACCTGCAAAGTGGTTCCCTAAAAAAAAAAAAAAAAACAAAAAAAAAAACAGAAGACAAACATCGCCAACACCAGTTGTTGTTGTTGTTTTTTTCAGGGACCCTTAACGGAAAACAAAACTACCGAAAAGCACCTTGGCAGGGCTTCCCCTATTTCGAGACACCGTTTCGGAGGATCCCGTGGCGCCCGGCATGGCATTGCCCGCTTGACCACTCTCGTTGGTGAGCACCGAGGAGGCGTACCTCAAGCCCAGATCTGCACTTGGCTTTGAGGACATCTTTTAGCACAAGGGGATCATATGTGTCTATAACAGAGTTCCTACAGATACTTGTACATATATATATATATATGTATATATATATATATATATAGGTATGTATGTATGCATTCATGCATGCATGCATGTATGTATGTATGAATGTATTCCTGTATGTGTGCACGAATGCATGTATTCATGTGTGTGTATGTATGCATGACATGGATGTATGTATGTGTGTGTATGTATGTATGTATGTGTGTATGCATATGTATGTATGTATGTATGTATGTATGTATGTATGTATGTATGTATGTATGTATGTATGTATGTATGTATGTATGTATGTATGTATGTATGTATGTATGTATGTATGTATGTATGTATGTATGTATGTATGTATGTATGTATGTATGTATGTATGTATGTATGTATGTATGTATGTATGTATGTATGTATGTATGTATGTATGTATGTATGTATGTATGTATGTATGTATGTATGTATGTATGTATGTATGTATGTATGTATGTATGTATGTATGTATGTATGTATGTATGTATGTATGTATGTATGTATGTGTTGTGTACTATGGTATGGAATGGTATGGTATGCATGTATGCATGTATCTATGTATATATATATATATGTGTATTTATGTATGTATGTATGTATGTATGTATGTAAATGTATGTAAATGTATGCAAATGTATGTATACATATATCTATATGTGTGTTACATGTTAGACACATGTGTGTACATTTGCAGGTAGTATGTACAACGTGCATCTCTCTGTTTGTCAAACTCTTCATGGACTAGATATAACATGACGAATATGTATATATATATATATATATACATATGTAGTATAACATATATGCTTGACTTCACAGTGCCAGTGCCTGCGACGAAGCGCACACTCGCTCGATCTCAGTGCAACCCAAAGGAGTTCCGAAGCCTGTTTGTTGGGTGTCAGATGTGAAGCAAATTTGAAATGAGTGTCTTGTTTCGGGAGTTGGACCACACAAAAAAAGGGTGGCTTTTCTTTTGGTGTTCCTGCAACACCACGCTCAAAAAACGACACACCCAAATAGGCTTTGCTTTTGACACCCCCTAAGCGCCCTGCCTCTGAACCCCCCCTTTTGACACCCCCCCACAAGCCCCCGAGGATGGCACAGGATGGGTGT